AATTTGTCTGTATTTTAAGTAATGTACTGGAATTTAGTGTTCAGAAGAAGTTGGACTTAGCAATTAATTGGGAAAAAAGAAAAATAAAAGCAGACTAACGACACAGTGTAGTAAAGGCAGATTAAAATGTCGTGGTTTTGCTTCCTGTTGCCAGGAGAACTCTGGAGGCAGGAAAAATGAAAGCCCGCCAGACGTCCCTTCCGCGTTCGCACGCTAGGACCCCGTCGTGGCTTGGAAAGGCCGGCGGCCCACTGGTGCCCGGGGATGGTGGCCGCCGGCCCGAAGGCTACCGCAGAGAAGGGCACGTGCAAATTATGTGAGAGCTGGAGAAAATGTCCAGCTGGAGAATTAAGGAGTCCGTGCAACTCGGTCTAGCAAAAGCGGTGCGGGGCAGACAGTATCGCTTTAGTGTGGAACGGTATTTATAGGGAATGGGTCAGTCCCTGAAGTCTGGCTAGGAATACCAAGGTCCAAAGACAGGCATAACAGAAAAATAAGAGCTGAAAGGTAAAGACAAGTTTTACACAGAAAATGAGGGCTTCTGTGGGCAATGGGAAGGATCTGCCAGGGATGGTAGGGGCTTTTCCCATCTACCGTCTTTGAAATAAACTGAGCACCTTTCGCCGGTGTTATGGATGAGGAAGATGTTTAAATCTTGAAACAATGGAAGCTCCTCCATTTGAAATCCACCCTGCGATGTCTGGTCCTTCAGATGTCTGGTACTTCACAGAATCATGCAACGGGTGAACTTTCCAATGTGGTCCAGTCTCCAAGCGCTCAGCTGAATGTCCAGTTGACAGTTGTTTTGTAACGCGAATTACGCAGTGGTGATGGTGACTGAAGACCACAGGCACTGTGTCATGCGTTTAGCAAACAACTTTGCCAATAAAAAAGATGTTTCTGTAGGCTTGATGCCTGTAACCAGGATGTCAGGGCTGATCAACAGAAGAAAACTTCTCGCTTGTAAGGATGTGGTTAGGCTGGACTTCAGGAAAAAATGTATCATTGTGAGACTGTGCTCTTTAAGGTAGGGTGGAAATATGCAGAACTGATAAGGGTTTTCTTGTGAAGTAACAACATAATGTAAAATGTACATAATTTTATAAAGATTATATTTCTATTTTTCTAATTTAAAATTAACTGAATTATGATTAAAATAAATGCTCAAAAATAAAGCATTGAAACCTCACAGTTGTTAAAACAGAACTATTGCAGACACCAGCTTTCAAGTGAAATATGTAACTGTTGGGGGTTTTATACTAGAATAATGCATTCCACCATTGTTTTAATACATTACGGTTCTGAAAATTCTAATCAAGTTTAGTTACTCTTAGAAGTATTGGATCTTTTTCGAGGGAAAGTGCAAAAGTAGTTATCTAATACAGTCCGTGAGTTTATCTGGTGTGTTGTTGACCCAAATTCACTGTGAAGCTGGCTTGAGAAGCTTATAGCTTTCTTCATTCTGCGATTCAGCAACAGAAGTTTTATAATCCAGGCAATAACGATCTTGACAGGATAGGCAAAGCTTGTGTTTGCTGAATCTTTTCTTCACATGTATGACAGATGTGATACATATGTAACATATGTTTTGTACTTAAAATAAGTTAACACAAGATATTTTTTGACCGCAGAAGCTTCATCTTTGCCATTTTTTTCTGTTTTACAAATCACAGAAGACATAACTTCTTATTGTAATCAGTCTGTAGTAATTCTGAGAGAAGACAAGAACAATTCCTTTCAAACAAATCCCTTTGCATTAGAAAATACTTTCTGAAGAGTATGCCTGTGCTGGTTATGTTCACGTGGCCGTGCATGCTTGTGTGCCTGCCTGCTTTACGCATGAGAAGTGTAGGACAACTGCAGTTGGCTGCTGTTGCAGAAACCAACCTCTAACACTGCTGCTCTTGGACTCCTCTCACCTTGTACAACAAAGCCAGACAGACCAAAATGCCGGAGTATGTTTACAGAAGAGGCAAGACAGGTGAAAGGGAGCATGAGGTAGGGGACAAATGTGTGAGTTTCACTCTCTGTGCAAAAATCTTCATAGGACCAGAAGAGATGGTATCCAATAATAATTAATAATGATAATGATATGTAAAAAAGAAGTCCTGCTTTACAGTGCTAGGGATCTTTCCTGATGAAATATGCTAAACTATGCTCAAGATGTGAATGCCCATGTGACAACACTGCGGTCCTGTCAACATTTGCAAGCATTTGCAAGGGCCATACAGTTGGTAATCAGGTTCTAATGCACATTTTACTTGCATTTCAGGGGTGGTTGCTGTGGGCAGGGTCTCTTCTTGCCCTTCCATTGACCAAGCAGCCATTTGCTTTTGATAATAGATCAAGTGATTTAGTTTCATTTGAAAAGAATTCAATTTTTCACATCCTCTTACATTCTACAGAAAAAAAAAAAACTGAGGAAAAAAGTAAGTGGGGGTGACTGGGAGATTCTCTTCAAAAGTGTAAAGTGTATTCCAGAATTTAGTCCAAGACAGTAGCACCGTTTGACTGCTCTTGTGGCTTTGCTAGAACTTTGTGCTGGCTTACACTGAAATCATTAGTCTGTATCTGCTATTTTCAACAAAAATTGAATCAGGTCCTCTAGACAAAGGAGGGCTTATATCTTCACTATGATTCTCCCTTTTTGTTCCAGCTGGTATGCTTAATAGTAAGTAAACTAAGTGTCTTGAAGAATATAAGGGCAAGTGTATGCCAGGCTATGTAACTCTTGCCATCTCTGCAATATAAAACTTCCTACCTACCTACATCTTTATTAGTTAAGAAAAAAAAGCTAAAAAAAGAAGTACATGTGTACAATATAACATTAGAGGCAACTGAGACCAGACACCATCTTGATGCTTCTCCTGTTGCTACTAATTTTTTTTGTTCAATGTATCAGGTGACTGTTTAAATTTACAAAGCATTATCTGAAGAAAATAAATTCCATTGTAATTGATAGGTTTAGTTATAGCTGTTTCATATTGAAGTGAATATATGATGATATTTTCAGCTGTGATTCAAAACTGAAAACAGAAGAATGAAAATAAGAGATAAAATACTAATACAGAAGTACTACTTATATGTCTTCAATGGAATTTTCTTGGTAAAAATTCTGTTTTCATTTTCTTATTTAGCAGCTTCAAATTAAGTTTTTTAAAATGCTTTGAATTAAAAAAATAATCCTCTTCTTTTCAGGCTCTGGGTCTTATGCTTTTGACATTTGGCCTGTGGCTTTTATTTGACAGAAATAATTTATTCTGTGTGTTATGTGAGTATAAATAGATTTTTTCTTTTGTTTCAGATGATTGCAGTATAAATCAACAAAAACAGTGATAGAATTTTTTTTCACAAGGTGGCAGTATTGGATTGAAAGGCATAGGTTATTTTTTTCTGTTGTGTATATTTTCCACCATTAGACAGTATGATTATCAAAATAGGGGAAATATTTATCAGTATATCTACGATTTATATATGTTTATAATTTATACAATGTATTTATTTCTCTTGGTGTACGATTTATAGATGAATCACTGAAATATAAATCGTGTCTATTGACCTTTTCTTTCTATAATTTACTAGATTGCATTTGGCCTGCATTTGACAAGACTGTAGCTCCCTTAGGTGGATATTTGGGTGAAATGAACACAAATTGGTGTTTGGGTCTCTCCATATAGATATTTCTTTTTCCCAGAGTGTCTATCAAATTGTTTCACAAAGAAGTAAGCTTTGGGTCACATAGCAGCATATGTCCTCTTAAGGAGTTGTTTGCCTTGGCTGCACCAAGGGGCATCAATTCCCAACTGGTGGGATGGGAATCATGCAATATAGTAATTCTGGGATGAAGCATGTGAGATTGAAGTAATGAAAACCCTGCTACTTTCCATAGCTGTGCAAAAATTCTTAAAGTGGCAAGGGGAAAGTGGCCAGTCACAAAGAGGGAGGATAGTGCTGAATCTGAATCTGGATTTAATGAGAACTACATCTATGTCCATGTAGGATTTGTACATGTGCTACTAATTTTTGGCAAACAGAAAAAATCTGTGAACTTGTAATTGTTCTCTGATTTCATTGTGAGTGGTTTACATTGTTCAACTGAGTATATTCTGTTTACATCTCATATGTTGTTACCATCCTCTGAATTTATGAAAATATATCTTTTTCATTCTGTGAATGTAGATAGCATAAGTAATAATAATATACTTTTATCATTCTACTATTTCCATCATTTCAGTAACGGCATTGCAAAGATTTAATTGCTTTTCTGGAATAAGTTTTGTAAGTGGAAATCTAGAAAAAAAGGAGAAGTGACAGTATGAATATACTGTGTTACAGTTTCTTCATGTGAGAACCAGCTAGTATCATATATTTCTTTTATATTACTTGGAATTGGATCTGTTATTACTTTTACCTCAGCTGTGGGATTCTTTGAAAGTGTTATGGAAATCAAACATCTGCTAGTTACAGTAAGTGTAAATCAGACTACAACTTTCTTGTAAAACGCAAGGGAGTTTTGCATGCACAAAAACTGTGATCCTGTCTTGATGTGATTTCCACATACAGTGCTTAACAAATCTGCTGGTAGAAAGGTATTTTTAGATAAAGTCATGGCTCAGATGAAATCTGAACAAAACTGAAGATCCTTCCGTATCACCCCATGAATGTTTCAATGACAAAACGCTTCCAGTATGATGCAGCAAAGATTTAAACTCATGTATTTGTTAACTTAGAGGTTTTAAAATTAATTTAGTACTGAAATTATGTAAAGCAGCTATCTCTCAATATGTGCTCACATGCTTAGTATGTGCTGAAGAAATAAAGAAAAGCCTGCCACAAAATATTGCAGGTTGAAGGCACAGGTAGCTACAGTATGTCTACAATATTGAAACAGAGACTATGATTAAAAAGCTGTTACCTGTGTAGGCCTACCTGGATACTCCATATTTATATACAATTCCTGCTTTTTAAGGGAAGAACACTTTGATTTCTGAAAAATTACATTGTAACTATACATTCTTGTGGCCACTCTGATTACATTTTTTCCTTTATCTTTTGTTTATTGTCACTCTTTTGAGTGATCTGTTTTAGCCTGTGTGAAGGCTGAAGCAGAGAACTGTTCTACTGATTCATTTGTTAAGCACTGCAAATGTCAATTGGCACAGCAGTGAGAGGGGCCCAGGTGCTATAACCAGGAGTCTTGTTCCTTCTGCCTTCCTTTTACTGCCCTAGGCATGTAGTGTTTGCCTCACAGTTTATTAGATGATGAAAGAGAAAGACATGTCTCATTTCCAAATTCCATGGAAGTATTTAGTATCAAAATATCTAGAAACTCTGGGTGAAAATTTGATCTCACTGAACAAAATCAGCTATCAATTGGTTTCATTCGTGCATCTTATAGCTCAAAGCAGTCCTTGACTAGGTGTGAGACTTGGGTACCAGCAACTCAAACAGGAAATAATGAAATAAGAGTTTTCTTCAGTGGAGCACAGCTGCTTAACAACAGCTTTTGTTCTTCGCTTCCAAGAAAGTACTGGCTTTGTCTTTAAACCCAAGACAGTAAGTTGTGCTTTGCCTGAAGCCTGCCTCTTAGACTCTGATGTCCCTTTCTGAGGGTTTCCAGGAAAAAATATTTCTTACTTTTGTTGGAAATACTCTGAGTAACAGTCATGAAGGATGATGCATGAGCTTCTGGAATTTTTTATTGCATTGCTCACTTGTTCAATATTATGTTTACACATATTTTGGGTTTTTTTTCAGTATATGAGTTTTCAAATCCTGGTGTTTGTTACCCAGATGGCAATATTGGTGCTGTTATTTGTGAAGAAAGAAGAGGTATGTAATTAAATTATGTGAGACTGCTGATAATTTCAAAATAGTTTCTTGCAGTTAATTAAAAAAATTATAATAGTCGGTTCTCACTGTATGCTGTATCACCATTTGTTTGAACTTGAGTACTCTACATGACAACCAGGCATAGCAGATGTGGAAAAGTTAATTTGAGGAATTCAGCATGGTTCAACAGTTGTAAAGGGGTGTGCATGGAAATATATTTCCAGTTTCTTCTCTGCAACAAAATGTACTCTTCCTGTTCAGTAATGTGGAATCAACAATGTAAGGGAAAGCTTTATTCCTTTTTGAGGCATGACCCAGAAAGCCCCTCTTTCCTGGACATCAGCAGAGGTAGGAGAAAGCATTAGATGCCAACCTGTGTCTGCTAGCAGGTGATAACACCAGTTGGCTTTGCAATTGATAGTAGGAGTCATTGGTATCATGGCATGCAAAATATGCTAATGAATTACTAACTTTATTGTTTCATCCTGTATTTTAGGTCAAAGTAGAGATCTAGTATAAGGAATATGTATCTTTGGGATTAGAAACAAGAAGCAACAGTAATAACCACATAGCTGTTGTCACTAGTAACTGTACTGCTTTGAAGCTTTATTCAGTTATTTATTTTTCTACATATAGCAACTCCAATAGCTTGAGCACTCCTCACAGTATTATTTGGAAGGTAATCTGTGCTGAATCCATATTGGTCTGGCCACTTCCCTATTCCATAATTCCAAAATCTATGGTTTGAGAAAACTTACAACA